GAAGAAGCAAGTAGAAGTCAAGTCAGGCCGTTGGTTCCTCACTGAAGTCTGTCTTTCCTGCTGTCCTGCTGGCTCCGAACACGCTGGCTCTTTGGAGAGGGAAATGAGAATGCAGCATCACTTATGTCACCTGCCTGTAAAATTTTGCTGAAGGTAATTCTAAAACAGTACTGCCCGAAAGTTAAGCCAGACTCAGAGGGCATAGAGCGACGGCTACCAAGGCGAGTGTCGGATGGGTTTTGGTTGACAGCAGCCAAGGCTGTGTGGATCAAGACAAACTATGCGCAGCATTGCAAAGAAAGGGCATTCCAAACCCTGTGAACTGTGCTCACCAGGGACCTGTTCCTGGACCAAGAGGAGTCACTGCGGCAGCACGGGGCATTGTGTGTGCTTTGACATCAGGAAAGGTGTGCATGGTAGGCTTGTATCCTTGCACCATGCTTCTTTGAGCTGTTGTACATCGGTTGCCACCCTGACCCAACGGCACACAACTACAGCACTCAACTGCGTGCCCTAAGGAGCTGGACTGAAGGAAGAGGAACGCAGCATCAGGGTGGATGGAAGACTCATAACAGCCTCTGAGGGTGGGCGGAAGGGCACCAACCCTGTCTGCTGAGAGCGAAGACCACCTGAGGCAGTTACTGATGAAGCTCAGACTACAGCCCTCCCGTCTCAACATCAACAAAGCAAACACCCTCACAACTCGACAGGCAACGCACATCATGCTAAACAGCAAACCTGAACGTTGTCACCTGTTTCATTTCACTTGGACCCACGATCAACACCCGGGGGAGCAGCAGTCAAGAAATCAAACAGATTACTGCACCGGGAAAATGTCTTGTCGAAGACTGTTCCAGTGTCCAAGCACAAAGATGTCCCTCTGAGGACGAAGAGGTGTCTGGCCCGAGCCATGGCATTTTCAATGGCCTCTTGATGCATTCCAAAGCTGTACAATGAATAGGGGAAGGCGGAGAACGGATGCAGTTGAATTCTCGGGCACTGCCAGAAGAACAAACTAGCCTGTGCTGGAAGACGCAGAGCCAGGAGGCTCCTTAGGAGCGAGGCTGCTCAGACTTCATCTCATCCACTTCAGACTTGTTCCCAGGAGGGACCAGTGCCTGGAGGAGGACTGGGCGTGGAGGGTCAACAGAAAAAGAGGGAGGCTCCCCCGGGATGACGGGCAGAGTGAATGGGCTCAAGTACAGCAAGGGCTGTGAGGGCGGCAGTGTGTGGCCCTGCTGGATGGAGGTTCGTATGAGTCGGAACCGATTCGATGGCACCTAACAAGGACGACCACCGGGGGTGGGGATGGGGGTGAGGAAGGGAGAGCTTGCGCTTAGGGTGCAGTGAGTTTATGCTGAGGGTGGTGGGGTAACGTGGGAAAGGACGGGGAGAACGGTTGTACAACTTGAAGAATGTTCTCAATGCTACTGAACTGTCCTCGGGGAAGTTACTGAATCAGTGCATGTTTTGCTTGTGTATTTTTGCAGTCAAAAAAACAATCATCCTAATACCCAGGCCACCCTGTGTCCAATGGCATCTCATGTTCTGCTCTGTGTGTGTGTGGGGGGGGGGTTACAAGTTTCAGCTTCAAAGTGACCCAACTCACAGGTAAGCAGGAGACCCTAAAGTGAGTCTAGCGGTGGCCTCTGCAAGGGAATGATGCCCAGGGAGACAGACACACAGAGAGGGCGCCCCTGGCAATGGGCTGACTGGTGGCACCGAGGCGTCTGCTCTGTTATTCAAGTTCAGAAGCTCTCAAGGAACGTCTGAGGTTTTACAAAGGGAGACGGCCAACTTCCAGGTACGTTTCCCCACACACGAAGCGGACTTCTGTTCTGGTTTCCTAGGGAGACGAAGGCAGAGCAAGATGCATGACTGGTCCTCACCATTTATAACTCACACACTCTCGAATTCCAAACACATCTGCAAGAGGTCAGGACCATATATATATATATAGAGAGAGAGAGAGAAATACTGTGCCAAGTAACAGGGATGGGACAGATGGACAGATGACAGCAGGCAGCCCACGTCCAGCCCTGACCAGGAAAGGTGCTACAATGGTGATGGAGACCAGAGCACTGTAAGAACAGAATCTTTCTGGGTTCCCTCGCACCCTCCTCCCCCCCCACACACAATGGTGTTGGAATCCTAACCTCTCTTCCACCTGTGGGGGGATTTCATCACCACCACCCATTGCCCCAGACCTGGTCCTGCCACAGGTTGCTGCTAGGTGCGACTGAGTCCGTCTGACGCACACTCTGAGAATACAGGTACAGTGTCAAAGTGCCACCTGTCCTACACACATCATCTTAGGTAATTCTTTACACACTGCTAAGACCTGCTTCTCCCCAGAACCTCAGTCTTGCTCCCCCACCATCCTTGTACCCTACCGCTGGCCCCGCCCCCTCCCTGCCCGAACAGAGGAGCTGGAATCTGGAATAATTCCGTCCTCATTTGCTGAGTCCTCTCAGTGAGTGCCCTCTATCGCTCCCACCGACCTTCTACAACAGCGGTTCTCTACCTTCCTAATGCCGTGACCCTTTCATACAGCTCCTCATGTGGTGGTGACCCCCAACCATAACATTATTTTCGTTGTTACTTCATCACTGTCATTTTGCTACTGTTATGAATCATCATGTAAATATCTGATATGCAGGATGTGTTTTCATTGTTACAAATTAAACATCATTAGAGCATCGTGATTCATCACAAAAACAATATGTAATTCTATATTGTGAAATATTTATTTCTAATGACAAATAAATGAAATGTTGTCTTGAAGCGTGGTGTAGCATGGGTCAGTGTACATACCGGGTACCCGTTGGTGGGAGTACTGCATGTGGGTGGACCCACCTGGAGACAGAGCAGCCGTGTCCCGATTCCTAAGACCATTGGAAATATGTTTTCTGATGGTCTTGGGTGACCCCTGTGAAAGGGTCGTTTGACCCCCAAAGGGGTCACGACACACATGTTGAGAACTGCTGCTCTACAATAACCCCGCAACCCATTTATCAGTCACAATTTAAAACTGAGGAGCCACTGGGCACCCCGCTGGTAAACAGCGAGTGATTCACGACAAGCACAGTGCCTGTACACAGAGGCATCTCCATCAATGTTCCCCGGGCAGAGCCGGGACTCAGGTCCAGGTCGGGCTGGTCCTGTGTTCTGTTTAGAAACTACAGGCACCCAGTGCAAACCTTAAACAGGCAGAAGGGCGTGCCCACGTGTGTGTGAGTGGGCGGTGGGGGCGCCCACCCTGGGCCCCAGGTCTGCTCCTGAGAAGCAACCACTTCCTCAGGCGTCTTTGGAGACGTTTCAACACTGTTCTGTGCCTTCACCCGCTTTGCTCTTTTAACCATCAAGCTCCTCGGCGGGCCTGCTCTCCTGCCCGCTCACTTGCACGGTAGAGCTGCACTTGGCCTTCCTGTCTGTTCAAAATTAACAAGGTGCCTGAGTCGCACACACAGTCTGAGCACGACGACTAATTGAAAGGTTGGTGGTGGTTTGAATGCACGCAGCAACAGCACCCCTGGAAAAATTACCACACGCCACGGCTGAGGGGTGCGAGTGACACAGCAACGATGGATCTGTTTGTTTGTTCTGTGGTAGCCTCCCTGAGGCCTGAGGTAAAGCTGTAGGACTCTCAAAGTCCACGCCAATTTGTCAACCCAAGGGTAAAGTTTAGACCAAAGGTGGCTTTGCCTGGCAGCATAGCTGCCTTCAAAACCCTCTCAGACAAACAGCCCAGGGCTTCAGCGCCAAGTGTGCTGCAGAAGACAAGGCTGGCAGCCTCAGGCGATCTGATCTGGGAGCTGTCTGTCTGTCCCCAGCAACAGACCAGACTGCAGAAGGCAAAAGCAGAAACCTGGGTTCATTGGATGGCTTTATCTTTTCTGACTCTGTAGCTAGGAAACAAAGCATGTCCCACCTCCCTGAGATGTTTATCACATGGAACAAGAGTGGCTGTGGCTATTACTTCAAAGTAGTGCCCCAAACTACAAGCTGTGGACATGTCAGCAGTGATCAATGCTATTAAGGAGGCTGCTCTCCAGACAAGCCTAGGGCTGCGTTCCCTGGACGCCTTAAGAGCATGCTCCTCAACCCACTGGAGGGAGTGGGAGTGTGCGTGCATGTGCGCACACATGAGGGGAGGGGGCGGGGGGGGGACGTGTGTGTGTGTGTGTGTGTGTGTGTGTGTGTGTGTGTGTGTGAAGGTGGGGGGCATACTAGCCCTAAGGACCCCTTGGGTTAGAGCCAGGCAGCTTCCATTTTGCTTTCAAAGAGTAAGTATGGGCGGAAGATCACAGCAATCTCAGATTGGCCGGCTTCCTACTGCCGCGGGGCGCTAGTGTGCTGGCTCGGACTGGGTATGCCATAGAAAATGAGCCCCTCCCACCCATAGAAAGATCTGTTATCTCCCTACTGGGCTTCTGGGTGGGGCAGATAAGCATTCACAGGAAGCCCAGGAAAATGGAGAGCTGAAGCCTGGCACTGTCCCGGGATACATACGGGACACAGCCTAACAAGGACCGCCCAGGTGTCCAGCCTTCTTAGGATCAGAGAATGAACCCTGCCTGGCACACCAGTCTCCTAATAAACCCAGACGTCAAGTCAATTCCAACTCTGAGACCCTACAGGCAGGGTGGCACTGCCCCACAGGGACAAGGCAAACCTGCCCCTTAGGGCTTCCAAGCTGTTCTTGTAAAGAAAGCAAGCCACACCTTTGTCCTGCAACAAGGCTGGAGGTCCAAACCACTGGTCTTTTGGTTCACAGCCAAGTCAAGGCTACCAGAGTCCTCTGTCCGACGGCTTCAGTCTACTCTTCCTCACATGCCAGCTTAGACAACACTTGCTCAGGGAGGTCCTCCTTGATCCCTCTCAACCTGCGCTCTGAACTAGCCCAGGTCCTCCACCAAGTGTGTCCCTGCTCCCTGGCCCAGTGTGGAGTGCAGGATGCCAGGACAGGAGGGGCCCTGCAAGTGAGGAGGTGGTCTTACCTTCACTGTCGGTAAGCACCTCCATTCGCCCACTGAACATGGCTTTCAGCATGGTGTCCTGCTTGGTCAGCGTCTGCATGGTGGTGTAGTAGAGGGCTCCGCCCACATTCAGCTTCACGTACTTGGAGCTGGGGCTCGTCCCCTTGAAGGAAGTGGTGCGGGTCGCAGCCGCGGGCACCCCTGAGCTCACCACGCTTTCTCCTGACATCTCTTCCTGTGGCGAAACAGGAGACAGGGTCACGACAGCAGGCCCAGCACACCCCTTCCCCCAAACCCGCGTGCTGAATCTGCCCCATAGAACTGCTTGGTTTACTTCGTATCATACACTGACTGCCCAGAAACTGGCAAAGTCTATGCCCCATCCGGCCAGTTTACGGAGAATCTGGATTTCTGACTTAAGAATCAGAGGGCAAATGAGAACAAGGCCACGGCTGGGGCTGGGGGTGGAACTGAGGTCATGGGTGTCCCCTGGAAAGGTGGATGCCCCTGCCTGCCCCTCCCACAGATGATCCCCTCAGACAGTGGCCTTGAGTCTGCCACTAACTCTTCTTCCTGATGAAAATTTATTTTTATTTCCTCAGAACTTTGTATTGTGAATTGGGTGGTGGTTTAGAGATGACAATCAGTTTTATATCCCATGATTGACACATCGGTTATCTCATCCACTGCATGTGACATCGTCCTTCACGGGACATCACCACCCACCCCATACCTACTCCTGGTTCCACGGAGCCAACTTTCCTGACCTTTCTGCACTTTGTCTTTTTGGTAAATGATGTCCCCTCGACCCCAAATGGGCAAGTAGCACACCTCCTAGTGACACTGTGCCCCCTATGGATGTGTCTGTTGTTTGGTTGAAAACTGAGCTCAGGGAGGGTAGTTCCAGCCCAAATGGTAGCCGAAAGCTATAGTCTCAGGGGCAGGGATCCTACCAGCCCCTACCTGAGCAGCCAGCCCAGGCTCTTCCATGAATTTGGGTTTTGTTCTTTCTCCCACTCCATCCAGGACCTTTGAATGGGATTCCTTGCAGAGCAGCGGGTTGTGGTAGCCAGGTACCATCTAGTTCTTATAGCCGGGCACCATCTAGTTCTTCTCGTCTCAGGGCTGTGGAGACTGAGGTCTGTGAGGTCCATTTCATCCCGAGGACTAATGGTTTTCATGGGTCTTCAATTTCCATCACTCTTTCTTCCAGACAAGGAAACACCAATGGTTGTACCTCAGATGGCTGTGCGTGAGCTTTAAGATCCCAGTCACGACTCACCAAAGCGGAGAGTAGGTTATGTGGACTATGATAGGCCAAGTGACCTTAGTGTCCCCCGAGACTAAGGTCATGAGCGCCCAGGCCCAGTAACTCGGTACCCCAAGGGGATGAGTGAAGCTCAAGAAGCTCTCACAACTGAATGCTCCACCACATGCATGGATCTGGTTGCAAATATCCTGTCAAACCACCTATTTATACCATCATCCCATCAAATCCACCTATTTATGTGTGGGAGCATATCCCCACTTTCCCCCAACACCCTCTCAGCATGCCTGTCTGTCCATACATTTAGTCGGGAGAGCACTGTTATTGCAGGATTATATACGTAACAGTATTTACTTCTGCTTTTAACTCCTGCCACACCTCCCTCTCATGATATATTTTCCCTTTTCTTCACTCAAATTCGCAAAACCTACTTGACTTCCTTTCCATTTGGAAGTTCTGTGACCACACTCTTCCCTCTTCTTACTTTGTGACCGTCTTCACGACAAACTGGTAACTCTGGTTCCCTGGTTGCCCTCTTGCAGGTCTGCTGAACTTTGGATGCTTCTGTCCCTGGGCTGGCTGCTGGGTGGTGCTGTCAAGTCTGTGAACCAGGTTGGGGTCGCAGGTGCCGGGAGAACCCCTTTTGGTGTTTCTTGTAAGCCTGGTCTTGTTTGCACAAATTTCCTTCTCTCCTGTTTACCTGGGAATGCCCGACCTGACTTCACCATCGTACCTGAGGGTCAGTTTTGCCCGGCATGTGATTCTGGGCTGGCCACTGTTTCCCTTTCAGAGTCTGGTGTGTGTTAGAGAGTGAGTGAACAGGCAAACCTCGACACCTGGGGAAGACCACCAAGAGTGGGCTGCATCTTCACAGATTCTGGGGCTCGACGCGGGGAGAGATCAGAGTCGCTCCTGTCAGGAGCTAGGGCTCTGGGTGCCCACTGGACAGAAAGGTCTTCACGGTGCCCGGCCACCGGACAAGGCCATTCAGGAAGCAAGTCTGCCCCGACCTGCACCTGCCGCTATCCAGCTGATTCTGACACAGGGCGAGCCCTGTGGCTGAACAGAAGTGCCCCACATGGTTTCCAGGTCTTTCTGGAAGCAGATTATCACCTTTTTCTCCCATGAAGCAGTTGGTGAGCTCAAAGGAACCACCTTTGGGCAAACAGCCTCGTGGTTAGGCCCTTCGCCACCAGGCCCACTTCCCTAGGGAAGCCTGCACGCAGACGAGTGTCCCAAACACAAGCACCCCAGATCCTGGCGAATGCGAGTGCTTGCTACCACTTTCCAAGAGCAGTTTCGGCCTTCCTTGGTCTAGTCTTCCAGAAGACGCCTGCCTCTTGGAGGGCGAAATGGTGTAAGCACTCAGCTTCTTCCTGAAAGGTTGGCGATTCAATGCGCCCCGAGGCATCTCAGAAAACAAGCCTGGTGCTCTGCTTCCTTCAAACCCCACGGAGCAGTGCTCCTCTGCACACAAGAGCCGGTCAGAGGTCGGAATCGACTCGGCAGCGACATTCTTCCTGCCTCCGAGAGAGGGGTTATTAAGACACAAAGGCCTCTGCTTTCAGACAGCAGCCGGTCCAGAGCAAAGCCCTACTTGACTCAACACAAGTCCAAATCCTAACAGCCTTGGAATTTGGACAACGGATAGGGAAGAACTGAAGCATTCAAGTTCCGGAGAAAGGACCAAAGGGTGCTAAAACAAAACCAAATCGGTCTCGGGCAGTACAGGCAGACCGTGGCTCAGAAGCAAGGGCGGTGAGACCTCGTCTCACACACTTGGGACCTGTTAGCTGAAGAACACCAGGCTTGGTAAAGCAGAGCCAGGAGGAATGAGGAAGAGCCTCTGTGAGATGGGCTGGCACAGTCGCTGCACCAAGGGGCTCACAGAAAGCAGTGGTTGGGGGAGTGTCACAGGGCCCAGCTACATTGAACTCTGTGGTTCACAAGGTCTCTGAGTTGGAACATGTCCCTGATAACTCAACGTCTCCTAACTGCAACCAAACTGTCTTTGTAAGATGCCCCACAGGGTGTGTGTCTGTCCGCCCTTCATGTGACAAGTAATTCTCTTGACTACAGGTAGGTTCCTGGTAGGTTTTCACTGCACAGGGCACAAGCATGGAACCAATTCCTGATTTTTTTTAAAAAGAAAAGGGCTGTGTTTCACAATTCTTTGTACCTTTCTATTTCGACATTCCCATCATAAGCATGTCGCACATCTATAATTGGTCAAACACAAGGGAGTAAACGAGAACCAAGATGCCATCAACCAGTGATACCTGAGGAAATGACAATACTCAGGAGTTGTCCAGCTCCTCTGGACAACTCTACCCACCAAAAGTGGCCTAGAAATCACTGCTGGGGAACTTGTGTCAGGACACAGGCTGCAAGAAGTCTTTTCTCAAAAATCAGTTCCAACCTCAGAGGCTGGAGATTGAAGGCAACCCCTGAGAATTGAAATGAGAAATAAGTCAAAGAAGGTGTAGTAGTTATACAGATGGGCTGCTAACTGCAAGGTCGGCAGTTCAAAACCACCAGCCTCTTTTTGGGGGTAAGATGAGGCTTTCTCCTCCTTTAAAGAACTTCAGTCTTCGAAATTCACAGGGGCAGTTCTACCCTGTTCTATAAGGTCGCTCAGAGTCTGCATCTACTCAATGATAGTGAGGGGTTTTTGTTTGTTTGTTTTTAATAATAGACATCATGATAAATGGGCAAAAGATAGAAGTTGTCAAGAATGTCATTTTACTTGGATCCAAAATCAACAGAAGCAGTAGTCAAGAAATCAACCAATGTCCTGCACTGAGCAAATCTGACACACAAGCTTTACTGAAAGGCAAAGACGTCTGTCATTTTGAGGACTCGGGTGCGACTACCTGAGGCCACGGTATTTTCTTTCTTTTTTATAAATCATTTTATTGAGGGCTCGGACAACTCTTCTCACAATCCATACATACATCCATTGTGTCAAACACATTTGTACACCTATTGCTCTCATCATTCTCAAAACATTTGCTTTCTACCTGAACCCTTGCTATCAGCTCCTCATTTTTCCCCCTCCCACCCTCATGAACCCTTGATAATTTACAAATTATTCTGTCATATCTTACACCGTCTGACATCTCTCTTCACCCACTTTTCTGTTGCCTGTCCCCTAGGGAGGGAGTTTTATATAGATCCTTGTAGTCGGTTCCCCCTTTCTACCCCACTTTCCCTCCATCCTCCCGGTACTGCTACTCTCACCACTGGTCCTGAAGGGATCATTTGTCCTGGATTCCCTGTTCCTATCTGTACCAGTGTACATCCTCTGATCTAGCCGGATTTGTAAGGTAGAACTGGGATCATGATGGGGGTGGGGGGGAGCCTAGCATTTAAGAACTAGAGGGAAGTTGTATGTTTCATCGTTGCTACACTGCACCCTGACTGGCTCGTCTCCTCCCCCATGACGATTTTGTAAGGAATGTCCAGTTGTCTACAGATGGGCTTTGGGTTCTCAATCTGCACTCTCCCTCATTCACAGTAGTAGGATTTTTTTTGTCCTTTGATACCTGACCCGATACCTGATCCCTTCGACACGTCGTGGTCACACAGAGGCTATGGTATTTTCAATTGTTTGTGTCTGTGAAAGCTAGAGAATGAATAAGGAAGACCAAGGAATTTAGGCATTTGATTTGTGGTGCTGGCCAAGCATACGGCAAGTACCAAGGTCTACCAGAGAGATAAGCAGACCTGTCTTAGACGGAAGTACAGCTAGAATGAAGTGAGGCTGGGAGGACTTTGTCTCACCGACTTTGGACACACCATCAGGAGAGAACAGGTCCTGGAGAAGGACAACATGCTTCGTAAAGTACAGGGTCGGGGAAAAGAGGAAGCGCCCAGCGCAGTGTTCTCTACCTTCCTAATGCCGCGACTCTTTCAGACAGCTCCTCGTGCTGTGGTGACCCCCAACCAAATTATTTTCATTGC